GTTCTCCGCCCGTTAATCTTAGTAGCGGCTAAGCATTCGGGCCGTTTAGCTAGTATATTGGCAGTGTAGATTTTTTTTAAGTCAACCTGTTAGTTTAAATTGAATTGTATAGTCTAGCATTACATCTTTAAATTTATGTTAAATTAGCTTTTAAGCTCTCACCGTAAGTAGTCTGTGCTGTTTTGTACGTAAGTCCATGCCTTCTCTTAAACAGTTTCCAATCAATAAAAGAGTGTTTTTATGCCCTTTCTCTGGTTGTGTTCATCTTCAACCTGTGCGAGAAGTCGCAAGGCAAACATTTAAGTGATCTAGTTACCATTCCCTGATAGAGAAACGTACAAGATCTTAGAACACCTGAATTAAATTTTTTCTACGTTTTACAGTGAATGGACTTAGAAATTATTTCTTTTATCTCTCATTCGGAACATCATTTCAATTGCTAATTGTAATTAATTGTCTTTCTTGTGACATGCTGGTATGTAAATAAATCTTAATTAACTAATTTGTTTGGAAATTAATCTCTCATAGCTTACAACATCAACAGGTAGTACATCAATTACAGAATGTTAAAAGTATTCAGAATTTTAAATACATTTTTGTAAAAATTTGTGAATGCATATGTTTCTTCTTTGAATTTAACACGTCCATATCTTATTTGTCAGGATCCTTCAACAGAATTTTCCAATAATTTTCTATCAGATATTTTTATCTTTCCAGTAAATACTGTAGAAAACTTTAAAATATCACCATGCGCTTTTAGTAGCACAAGACGCTCATTCAATATTATTAACTAGTATCTAAACTGTGTTAGTGTTTGCAGAGATTCGTCTTGATGTTCATGCTGAAATTAACACGTCGTTTGTCTTTATCGATTAATAACCGCAGATTTAAATTATAATTCAGTATATCTCACTAAGTGTTTTGGAAACATCAGCCACGTTGCTGTCATTAGAGCCTAATCTCTATCGTAAATGTTTGTATTCCTTCAAGGCATCTAAAGCAAGTTTATTATCCATTACTTTTTGCTCAAATTGTTTGTTGATATCATTTGTTCTGTTGAGTCAAATCATCAGAAAGTAAAGAAATTCAAAATCATTTTAACATGTAAAGTTTGGGCTTCACGTTACTTTTCTCTATTAAAAGTGTCTCCGTTTATAATTTCTTAAAGGACATCGGGAAATTATCCCAGTTGATATCATAGAGATCGAACTGCTTCACTTTTGTTCCCCACAGGGTGTCTGACGACTGCTTCAATATTAAATTGACTATATTTCATAAAAATTCCCAATCGCTTTGTGGAACAAGTTGAGAAATTATGTTTTCCTTTCATAATTGAAAAATACAACTTAAAAAATTTTCTTTAATTTTGTGGTTTCACTGATAGCTTAACTGAATATTCAAGACGCACACGAAGCATAAAATGCTGTAGGATTTGCTTTTAAAAGCAAACTTTGGAATCCATATCTTTTCCCTTTCATGATTGCTCTGACCCCTCCTATGTTAAATTTTTATAAACATTCAATCGGCCTTTCATGAAGACAACGATCTGTAAAATCATCTTAAAATAAAATAAAATAAAATTTTATATTACTCCCAAAGGGGAATTTTTTTTTAACGTTTTGTGTGTTACCTTTATTTATTAAATATCATGTTCTTCGCACTTAAACCATAAAATACAATTCAGCAGCAATATCACAAAATAATTTAAACAGAGCATATCTTTACTCGCGCGCTGGAGGTAATTTTTTTTTTTTTTTTTTTTTTTTTTTTTTCCCGTACAGTGTTGCCCTTGGTAGCTTTGAAATCGTTGAGTTGCTTAATATGAAACTCATAAATGCTTTACAAAATATGAAATAGATAATAAAACAAATGCGGGCTTTCAGATGCCCATATTCAGGTGGAGATGTAGGTTACTCAAAATTTGATGGCTCAAGGTACCGTTGTTTTATCACAATGCGAGAAAAATACGTAATGCCAATTCTTCATTATTTAATTTCCTTAAATATAATACAGGCGATAATATTTAATGGCAACAATTTGAAAAGTGAAACTCCCGAAATTGCTAAGACGAATAATAGTTAATAGCCCATCCGGACTAACGTCCTTTGGGCTTAAAAAAAAAAAAAAAAAAAAAAAAAAAAATTCTATTAATTCCATTATTGCTGCAAACGACGAAGTCTGTAATTGTTTTTTTTTTTTTTTTTTCTTTTCTTTTTTCTATCTTATTTCCACGTGACGTGCAATCTAAGATTATTGAATAATATTTAACTTATCTAATAGATGTCACAAATTTTTACTTTACTGCTAAGTTTAAAATACTAGTATGAAATTTGGCTAACTTTGCTATAATAAAGAAAACAGTATTTTTTGTTGTACTGCTGTTTCTTCATATATTTCTATAGCTGGGCAAAATATAAGTCAAACTTATAAGTTTGCCCAGCCATAGAAATAACTAGAACTGCTTGCTAAGTCAAACATAGCAAGCAGTTCTAGTAATTTAAAGAAATTTCCATCATTTCCTTAATACTGGTGACTTTCTAAGAACTAAATGTAGATCCCTTACGAAATTTTACCACTTCTCAGCAAAACATTAATTGGACCAATGTTTCTTTTCCAATTTGTATAGCGGTTATGTGTGAGGTTCATCAGTAGTGTAATATTTCAGACTTTTCTTTTAATTCGTTGAATTTTTAAAACTGAAAGATTTCATTAATATTTTACAAATGTAACAAACTAATCTCGTGTCTTTGTAAACATTTTTCAGTCATTATGTGCTATTATAAGAGTATTACTTTTCATTCCGAACAGATATCATTTTTAATATAACTTTTCGTAATTAACATCAAAATTTGTCCATTTTGTCGTGTTTTCTATATCCGCAATCACTAATGATTCAAAATCATATAATAGTTCCTCAGGATCTGAATATTATGAATGAATCTGATTGGTAGAAAACTGTCACTTAATATCGTTATGGAGCAGGATTCAGGCATCTTAGACATTAGATTCTTTGAAGTTAGAGATGTGAAAAATGTTAAAAATTATTAGCAGAATTGTTAATAAAAATTATTCCTAATTATAAATTTATGTCATTTTATGACATGAAGAAATAGGAATTCGTGTAAATAAAAATAGTGGTTTTAGTTAGACTGATTTAGTGGTTTTAGTTCAAATGGATTTCTTCATTTGCATTAAGTTTGTATCAGAGTCATATTTTGCTCTATGTTTATATCAGATCATGGATTTTTTTCGATGTATAAAACATGATAAGATTTCTGAAACTAAATGCTTTAGGTCGATTTACATAATACCTGGAGTTACGAATATTTGATACAAAATGATGATATGTGTATTAATTAATTTATTATTAAATGAAATGTTATTTAATGATTTCATAAAAATAAAACTATAAAAATATTATGTTGCTTAACCCTTTGCATCTCGTTTTGTTTTAAAGCAAACTTCTTTTATGAAAAATGTTTTCAACATTCTTAACTTTGTTAAATAGGACAATTGCTGAATTACTAAAAATTGCGTTTACAAGTTAGTAGTGCTATTCCTCAAATGGCAATAAAATACCTTAATACTGTAAAAGCCTAAGAGCTCAGTTTAGAGAACTTAGACGTATGAAATTCATTATTAGCTAAAAACATACTATAAAAAATGACTTTCAAAAGTGATCATAAAAATTGTGATGACGTCTAAATAATTGTAAGAAATTTAATCGAGAGTAATTAATCTCTAATATTTAATAAAATTGCAAAAATTTTTGTTGTAATTATTATAATAAGATAAATAATCGAATAATTCTAAAACCGGGAATGTTTTAAATGAACATGCAAAATGTTAAAAATAAACTTCTAACTAATGCATAGAATTAATACACTTAGTTTCTAACTGTTCAAAACGAGAAGCAGTAAAGACAGTTCTTTCATTCATAAAAATTTTAAATATGTATTTCCATTAACCGATGTGTGCATATAAATGCTATGCCATTCTTGTGATAATGTTGTTTGCTTTTTATTCTGTGAAGAATAGTGGAATCTGAATAATAATAGATGGTGAATGTCTGATGTGATGAATATGAATGAGATAATCACAAGAGTAGATCAAATTGCTATTTTTAATATGTTTTGAAAAAATACTGATGCATAAAAAATATATTAAGACTGTTCTGTTCAAAGTATTATTTTTTACATTTCATGCTCCCTTTTTTCATTATCTGTTCAATCATAATAGTTTCAAACTTTTTCTTTGTATGCTTGATTTTTAATGCTGCCGATTTTTTAAGTTGATTGTTATTTTAGAAAATTACATTAAGTGAAATATACAAGCTGAACAGTGGTCTTCAGTTAAAAACATTAATAATAAAAAATAAGACGCTAAACTATAGGAAACTTGATACTCTAACTATGACACAAACTTTGTGCCCTCAACCTTCATAGTTTCTGAGAAAGGAGGTAACGTTAAAATGATAAATAAGCGTACGTAATTTTTAATTTGCGTATCAACGATAAAAAGAACAGAAGTAACAGTCTATTAAGAATTCATTATGTTTTAATATAATTGTTAACGTTTTATTTTTTTTTTTTTTTTTTTTTTTTTTTTTTAGCGATGCATTGGCTGCTAGCATGAAAAATGAATCTGCTTAGTGTTCCGTCACACTTCTACAAAGTTCTAATGTTCAAACAGACGCTGAGAAGAGCTTTGCTAAGGATCACTCTAATATTCATAGCAGACATTTGTTAAAATGCTTTTCTTGCACGATTTAGTAAATATTACGAAAACTGAAAACAAGGTTGGGGAAATGAATGAAATGAACATTGAATTAATTCTTAGTTGAAACCATTATCTTTACTCATTTGCTGATTAATGTTTACGAATTATTTCGACCTTGGCCTTTGTCTGAAATTTTGATTGATTTGTTTTAAACGCATGCATTTTCTATGTTACTGTATTAAAATTTCCACCTATTATATTTGGAATCTTTTACTCTTTAGATAGCACCAGATACCTTCCATGAAATCAAAAGCAAGAGAAGACCATAGATAACATTTTGCCAATGACTGCAACGAAGGAAGGCACCCATACGACAATTACCGCATCGCCGGAACTAAACAATAGTCACCATGTCGAAGAAGAGGAAGAAGAAATGGATATCTTGATGCCAGAACCACCTGATGGCGGATGGGGCTGGGTCGTTGTTTTCTGTTCCTTCATGATCCACGTCATCGCCGACGGTGTGACATATACATTCGGTATATTCTACATGGAGTTACTGAGACATTTTGGAGAAAGTAAAGGTGCAACTTCTTGGGTGGCATCCATCATGGTTGGAACAACATTTTGTGTGGGTGAGTAATGTGAAAAGAGCAATTTGTGTCACCGAGCAACCTTATAATTTTTCTGTATATAGTGCAAATAAGTTTATCTATCAAGTTATATAAAGTGTGACAACGTCTCTGCTGTGATTATTACCGTCTTTGCGCAGTTTAGTAACAGCTTCATCTGTTTCTTCTTCTAAAAAGCATTTTTGAGATTAGAACACTATTTTACAACAAATAATAACACTGAGGTTGAAATCAAAGTCTATAATTGTGTCATTAATAATTGAGCAATACTTCAGAGCATTGTTTTTATTACTAAGACTACACTCTTTCGCTACAATAATAAAATTTTAATAATTCGAAATTTTAGAAAAGTTTGCATTGAATGCCTCGGTTCATTAAATATATTAAAAATCCGTAATAACGTTTTCTTCGGTGAATTAAACCTTTTTCGAAGGACGCTAAAATTTGTGCATTTCTTTATCGATTTTAGCCAAAATATAACATGTGATTTCCATTGGTAAAAAAGTCGAGATACTAAAATTGAAAAGTTTTGGATTATGCTTAGTACAGTGTTTCGTTGAAAACGATTTTGGGTTTCAAATAAAGTACAAGTTTTAGTTATCCATTAAAAATTGTTATGGGCTTCATGCAAAGTATCGCTTTCGGTCGTCCAATTTTACCCAAAATCTAATGACCTCTTTATATGAATGTCGAAAGCTTAAATATGAAAAAAAAATGAAAATTTTGAAGTTCTGTATAAGAGTTATCGCGAATGAAAAAAATCATCACATATATACAAACTCACAGATAAACAAACATTATTGTAAAAAGAAAAAAAAAAAGTCTTATGGAGACCCTAATTTGTGTTTATTCCCCAAAAACTCACAATTCAAAGAGTTTTTAGACCGAAAACTTTACCTCCCTTACCTATTTAATTCAAATCGGGAAAAAAAAAAAAAAAAAAAAAAAAAAAAAAAAAAAACTTCCCAGATATATGAACCGATAGCTTTCGATTAGTTAAGCGGATACGCTCCGCTCAACTAATCGAAAAGAAGTTTCAGATATTGTTATTCGAACCTAAAACGATAGAGCCCTCACGGTTACGGTTACAGTAAAAACCATTCGAAAGTTTCCAATGGCAACACCCACTTCTTTCTTGCATAAAAATTGAAAAACCATAAATGGCATTGGAATGTTACACGTATGACGGAAATTGCCATCGTAAAACATCTGGAAAGAAGAGCATTGTGAAGGGCCAACGACAACGCAAGAGAGGAGAGGGGGGGATTTATTGGAATTACAAGTTTTCAAAGTGCCCATCTTCGCAGACGATGACGCATTGTATGCGGAAGATTGTTGAGAGCAATGACGAACATAACATCGCAGGAGGAAGCGGTATCACTTGACGTTTTATGGCATCTTTATCGTGGATTTGACGTGTGCACCTAAATGGCGTTGACTTGAACGATTTCAGATAACCCCAGAACCAGAAATCCATCAGAGTGATGTCGGGAGATCGCGGTGGCCACAAAACTGCAAAGTTACGGAAGATGAACTCTATCTGCAAAGGGCTGTTGCAGTACTTGCCGAACACATGTTGGCGACGTGTGAAGAAGCACCAGTTTACATCCATGTAACATCATTAACGACTTTCCTCTGCTGCAATTCTAGAATTACGTAATTCTGCAACATTGTTATATACCGAACATTTGTGATGGAGCATGTTTTCATACCTGTGGAAATGACCTCTTCGAAGAAATACAGATCGAGAACGAATGTGCTTGCGCTGACGCACCCCACAATCACTTTAGTTTGCAACATCTAAATGCGCTTTAATCGATATAGAAACACCCGCGGAAAAAAGCCCAAAAGCTTGAGAACCACTCTAATATAGGGCGCGCCGAAAGTCCTCTCGTGTGGATTGGTGGAAGGGGAGAGGGTTGGAGACCCCGGGATCACTCACGGGGTGCTCTCCCTCAAAATTGAGGGTGGAAATAGAAGTCCAACCTCTCTTCGGAGTTGGCTTTGGCAACCATTGTCCATGTTATATGGACAAGACAACAACAACATCACAATCTCGAACGCCTAACTTCGAATAACAATATCTGAAATTTCTTTTCGATTGGCCGATAGAGTTTCATATATCGATAAAATTGTTTTATAGTAATTGACGGAAGGTTAAAAAATAAGTTAGGAGTTATTACAATAAAAGGCTTTCCATACTTGTATTTTTCTTTTTCTCGATTTGCTTTTTAATTTATTTCTTTTAAACTTCTTATCACTCAACTTTTGGATACACAAAATATTATAAGCTGACCCCAGTGCTTGTCAATGTTAAAATGCCAGTTATGGCACATACGTTTCAGCGCAATATATATAAGATAATATGTGAAGATTTACAAGTATTTTAAATGGAATTCTAAAGGTACAGAAGCGCATAAAATGTCGCTATAAAATAAAATTAGTTCATAATGTCCTCTCGCCACAGAATGAAAATTTTGTACGCGGAAACACACATAACGTATTGTACTCTGTAATTATAATTAACGGGATTCTACCCAAGAATTCTCTGGAATCGGTAAGCAATAAGAATCGATTAAGGTTGCTTACATAAGAAGCAGATGATAGAGAAGCAATCGGGATCGTTTTACACAACAGTCACATCATAAAGAAATATATATATGTAATGTTTTCAGTTATTCCAACACATCGTGGGCGAATGGTGAGGCTATTCCATTACACGTTCTGGCAGATGGTTAACGAAGCTGGGGTGATTGAAACACGGAGTAAAATGACGACTCAGGACTTTTCACTTTTAACAGCAAGCATATCTTTATTTTAATTTATAGCAGATGACTTTTTCCAGATGAAGTTAATCAAATAACTTATTCAGTAATTGAACTATTAGATACGACTGACTTTAAACTTTAATACATCATAACGTTCTAACAAAGAAAGAGGAGCATAGCGGAAGCGTTAGCAGGACGAAGGCGAGAAGGCATCTATCTGTCTAGGAGAACTTATGACTCAGCATTTATATGAATGGTTATGTAACAGAGTAGCTTCTAGAAAAATGTAGAAAACTTATGACGCAGCATTTATATGAGGAGGTTATGTAATAGGCGTGAATGTTCTAGCAGGTACTGGGTTAGGGGACGATCTGGTTCGCAAAGACCAAAGCCATCGTATTTTTTTTTTATTTTACATCTTCCCACCACCCCCCGTCAAAAAGAGAGGCCGGGGTGAGAAAAGCATTAGTACAGGAGTGAAGCAAAAGTATGAGAAAAGACAAGAAAAACATCCAGAACATAGCGTACAAGCTTTAACTATGGCCTATCATAGTTCATGACTTTCTCATATAAAATTTTGACTTTATAGCATATGAAATTTTGAACATTAAAACAATGAGTTATAAATAATATAACAATATATGACTAATTTTAAGACTATAATAATAAATATGGAATACTGATAATAAATAATTTATAATTACAAAAGTCCTCATTTTGTTAAAAATGTCCATTTTGTGTTTTTTTTTAAAGTCCTTTTTCATAAAAAGAGTTCGAATAGAATGAAAATATCTGGTAAAATCTCTAAATGCCAGATAGTCCACAAATATGATGCATGTTGATAGTTCACAAATATGATGAATTTTTTCCTCTCATCGTAAAGATTGACATGTTTTACACTTCAATACAAAATATTATACTTATTCAAAAAACAATTCAATATAAATAATACATATGATACAATTAAGACATTGAACACTTTAACTTCAAAATTTTGGCATGTCCTCTCCAACAGATCAGCCGTGAGTAGCTTGCTGATGGTTGGAGGGTGCTAGGTACAAAATATCAAAAAAACCTCCGTTGCCTAATAGAAGGTAACTGGTTTCTGTAATTGTACATTGTACCTCAAAGTGGTGTTAGAAGAATAAAAGATCATATAAAATTAAAATTATAAGACGGATAACTGGTAATCAATTTAAAGTCTTTTTTATAATGTTGTAAATTAGAAAACAAATATTATCCTACAATAAAAATTTTTGCTACAAAATAATTCAAATTATGTGAAGATATAAAAGGTCAAGATCGGGAGAATAATTTTGTCATAGTCGGGAAAATAACTTGTCATAGTTAGGGTTTAAGTCTAAATCAGGTATTAAAGGTCATAATCAGGAAAATGTTTAAAAGAGAATTTTAAAAAAATTAATTTTAATTTTGAACAGAGATAGGAATTCTACTATTTCGGACAGTTAACTTAAACTCACTTGCTGGATTAAAAGGTCTTAATCTAGTTGAATGAACAATTTCTGATTTCTTTTTTAGTTAAAGGATTGGGTTTATCTATTTCATAAGTAACTTCAGAATATTGTCTTAAATTTTATAAGGTCCTGAGAATGGAGGGGATAATTTACGTGTATTAGGGTATTGAAATTCTTCATACATTACTAAATCACCATTTTAAAATTACTAGGTTTAAAATGAATATCATATCTTTCTTTATTTACATTATGATAATCATCAGGTCTCTTTTGAGCTATTTTTCTGGCTTCTTCTTGACGGATACAGTTCTTGATTTTAATTAAGGAACCATAAGGTAATTTTCCATACATTAAATATGATGGAGGGAATTTGTTACAGAATGAGGGGTATTATTATACCTTCAGTTACTTGGGGTAATAATTTTGTCCATGCTATATTACCGTGATAAGAATTTAGTTTGCTTTTAATCTAGTTATAATAGTTTGATTAACACGTTCAATTTTACCATTAGTTTGGGGTCTATTTGCAGTAGTTAGCAATTGTTTTACATTATGATTCCTTAAAAGTGCTTAAATTTTGAAGATGTAAAAGCAGCGTTCCTATCACTTAAAATCTTTTTAGGGACCTGAATTTGGAAAATTTGTTTTAAGCAATTTATATAAGTATCTGTAGTTACACTTTTGGAAGCAAAAGTCCAGATATATCTAGTTGCATGATCAATAATTATGTGAATATACTTTTTGGTAGAATTATAATAAT